GTGCCCCTTGCAGCTCCTGGCAAGCCTGGCTACACAGGCGCTCGGCCAAGGTGGTTTCGATGCGCTTCAGCCCTTGGCCAACCAGTTCGGCCTTAACTTTCAGCCGCAGATGTTTCAGCAGCCAGCCGCGCCGCCATACGGCATCGCGCGCCCGCCGTCGGCCGCGGCGGCTGCGGCTGGGGCGGCTGATCTGCCTACCCAGGCGGTCTCGGCAGGGGGGCCCACGGCCCCCCATCACCCGCCCGTGGACCCCGATGATGAGCTCCTCGAGCTGGAGCAGAGCATGGTCGACGCCGCGAAGGCCAAGAAGAAGAGGGACGCAGCCGCGGCCCGTGCGGGCACGGCCAAGGGCAAGGGCAAGGGCAAGGCCAAGGCCAAGGCCAAGGCCAAGGCCAAGGCCAAGGCCAAGCCTGCGGGCAAGGCCAAGGCCAAGGCCGAGGCCGCAGCTGACCCGCAGCCTGCTGCAGGCTCATGGGCACGACGACGGAGGAGGTGGAGGAGGTGGATGAGGAGGAGTAGGAGGAGGGCAAGGGAGGACTCGAGAGGAGGCGGAGGTGAATGGTTGAAATCCATGCCCCATGGGATGCCTCCTCCCGTCTCGCCGTCACCCCGCCTCTCCTTGCTTCCCCCCCGCCACCACCGTGGGCCCGTGCGAGGCAGTGCGAAGAAGGCCAAGCGCACGGTGGACTACTCCCAGTGGTTGAAGCCCCACGACGCCAAGGGTACCACCCGCGGCGCCTACACGAGCAGGGCGTACGACAACGCCAAGCGCTTGGCATCCAGCTACGGCCACAGCGACGACGCGATCGTGAAGATCGCCCGCAAGGCATACTCGGATGCCGCCGACGTTTGGAGCAAAGCGAACAAGGCGGGTGGCAGGAAGTAAGGCCTTGTACAGCAGGCCCTCCTCTCTTGACCCTCGCCATAACGGCGAGACGTGCTTGCCCCTTTGCTCGCGCCTGCGCCGTCTTACTTACACTATGTGGTTCTGTGTGCAGTAGGTGCAGATAGCGAGCATCCGCAGGCATGCTTCAGGCAGCTGCTCGTATGTAAAACACGAGCGGCTCCAGACACGCAGATTGGACCCCAGGCCATCACTGCGCGAGTGCGAATAGAAGCTTCATCGGTACCGTCGCCACCGCCATCATCGCCATCAGCGCTGCTATGCAGCGCCGTGCTATGTCATGCTACATTACATGTACAATGGTCGGCAATGCTACGCTATGCGACTCAGCTCAACGCCATGGTACATGCTATGATATGCTATGCCATGCTATGCGATTCAGCTATGGTCGGCAATGCAATGCTATGCGATACGCGGGGCTGTGCTATGCGACGCTATGCCATTAGGTGCAAGGCTTGCTTTGCACTGCATTGCGCATCGTGGAATTGGCACGGCCATGCATGGCATAGTATTGCCCCTTCCCCTCCTCCTCCCCGCTCACCCGTCCACCTCCCCCTCGTGCCTAACGCCAGGGCAAGTGTTGCGCGGGGCCATTCGGTGCTGACAGGGGGTTCGGAAAAGCCGGCTTTTTTTGATGGTTTTTGCAGGCTCGCATGTTGGGGTGCACCCCCTCCCCCAATCGGTCGGGCTTTTGCGGGGCGCTCGAGGCGTTCCCGAGATCACGACGCATGGCGCGCTACAACGAAGCCGTTTTGGCTCAAGCCGATGACGGAAGTCAAGAGGCGCAGACTTGCTCACCTCGGCCGCGACGCTCACGTGAGCGCCAGCGGGTTGGAACACCTTCTCAGACAGCTTCGGGATGAGGGCGGGGTGATCCCCGCAGCATTCTCATCTTCAAGCCAACGGCGGGCGAGGCAGTCAGTGGCTTTCCAGAGCACCACGTTCGGGAAGTTGATTCAGCAGCGGTCCGTCCCAAGCAAGACGGTCGGCAAGCCCGTCCAATTGTTCTTCCAGCATCCTTCTGCTTTCTTGGAGGCCGCGTGCAAGACTTGCGCGGAGTTTCGGGCCATCCTGACGAGGGTGTTGGACGACTCCAACAACCGTGTATCCATCTGTTTATACACGGACGAGATTACGCCTGGTCAGGCTTTGCAGCCGCACAACACCAGGAAGACACAAGCGGTCTATTGGACCCTGAAAGAGTTCGGGTTCCCCATCTTGAGTTGCGAGCTGGCCTGGATGACCATCTGCGCGCCGAGGACGGACACCGTGGCGGAGCTTCGTGGTGGAATGGCAGAGCTGTTTCGGTATGCGGTCAAGTTTTTCTTCGGGGGGCCGAGCGGCCACGACTTGCGCAACGGCGTCTCCCTGTTCATCGAGGGTGAAAATTCTCTTCGGCTCGTGACGGGATGCATGGGGATGCTCGTCCAGGACGAGCGCGGCCACAAGTTTTCGACGGGGGTCAAAGGATCTGGCGGGATCAAGATCTGTGCCCTTTGCAAAAACATCGCAGCGTTCAAGTGCACGTACCTGCCCGACCCCACTGGCTTCCTCATCCCGTCGACGGAGCTCGACGTTTCGTTGTTCAGGTTGCATTCGGATGAAGGGGTGAAGGCGATCCAGAGGAGATTGCATGACGTGGCGACGAACGGCACGAAGAGCGAGTTGGAATCTTTGGAAACGTTGCTCGGATTTAACTACATACCGACTGGGCTGTTGCAGGATTCCGATATCGATTTCAATTTAACCAGTTGCTGGTGCTATGACTGGATGCATTGCTACTGCATCGACGGTACGCTCGCAAAGGAGGTGTCAGCGTTTGTGGGACGGCTCGGTGACCACGGTTTGGGAGGCGATGTTATCGACAGATATCTTCAAGTATGGCACTGGCCCAACGCGTACGCCCACGCCAAGCCCGTCTGCCGCAAGCACGCTGACCATTCGCCGACTGGCTCGGCGTCCGAGCTGCTGTCCTTCTGCCCCGTGTTGGCGCAGTATGTGGAGGCCGTCGTGATGAGGAAGGGCGTGTGCGTTGCAGAATCGGCCAGCTTTCTTGCCCTGGCTCGCGTGATGGAGTTGTTGACCATTGTGAACAGCGGCGGCGTTAGGGCCGAGGAGCTCGCAAGGGCCATACACGGCCATCTGACGCTGCACCAGGCGGCGTACGGTTTCACTATGTGGAAAGCGAAGGAGCACTACTTGCTACACATACCGTCCATTCTAGATCTCCACGGCATGATCATATCGACCTTCATGCACGAACGCAAGCACCGCGTTCTGAAGAGGGTCATGACACCCAGGCACAGTTTGACTTCTTTCGACCGCTCGGTTCTAGAAGAGGTCACAGTACAGCACCTCTACGATTTAGACCGCCACGCAATCGATCGGCCAACTCTGATAAATTTGAAATTGCCAAGCAGGGGGGCCATGTCTGCGTTTTTGAAAGCTTTTCCTTTTGCACAGGGTTGCCAAGTTCACATGGCGAACTCCGCATACGCCCAGGGTAGAGTAGTACAGTGTAGGGACGTCTGTACTCTGTTGGGGGAGGATGGGCTCGTTTGGTTTGGTAAGGTGCACTTCTTCTGCACCGTCGGCGGATGGCTCGGGTGCTGCGCGTCCCAGTGGCCGATTGTAAATTCGGCGGGCGGGTGCGCGAAGTGCACCGTGGGGGATCACGGAATTTTAGTGCCCCTCCATCACTTACAGGAGCCGTGCGTTTTCAAAGATGCCGCAGTGGGCCAGGTTGCCAGTATAATATTGCCTCCGAAGCTTAAGCATTCGGGGGCTCGTCTTCGCAGCGTGTGAACACTTGATGAAGCGTGTGGGGCGTACACACTTCAGACAGCACTGAAAATCGTTAAGGGCTTGCGCCCGTCCCCCGCCGCCCAGCAAACTCCTGCTCCTCCTCCCCCTCCTCGCCTGCCTCTCCTCCCCCTCGTCTTCCTCGCCTCTCCTCCCTCTCCTCCCTCTCCTCCCCCTTTTGTCTCCCCTCTCTTCCCTCTCATCCCCTTCCTCCTGCTCTTCCTTTCCCCACCTCCTTCATGGGGCCCCGCTGGGACTCTGTTGGTACCCCGTGGGCCTTCTTGGGGCCATCTTGAGGCCGTCTTGGCCCCCCTTTCTGGGACCCCTTGGGATCCCTTCCTGGTCTCGTCAGGGCTGGCGCCCCCCCCGCCACCCCGCACTTTCCTATATCATCGAGGCTCGCGCTTCCCCGCCGAACCCGAGTGTTCTTATACCTGCAGGGCTGACGCCCTGTCCGCTGCCCCGCGTCCCCGCCCTTAGAGAGCGAAGCGTTACGGTGAACACCGAGTGTTCATATCCATGCGTAACCAAATTAGCGCGGCTCGCTAACCACATAGCTTGGTTACTTAACTTGCTTCGTAACTTGATTATAGGTCGGTTCTAACATGGTGCTGCTAACCTCGCTTTCTTAAGTCGGGTAACTGGTTAGTATGCAGCATACAAGTAAGCCAAGCACTAAGTAAGTGCAGTGGCGCGCCCAGTTGGGGTCGGTTTTCAACGTCTAGGGATAGATCCGGGCCGTTTAAGCACCGCACAGTGTCGGAGGTTCGTGCATTGCGAGACGATCCCGACTACGCAAGGCAGTTTTGTGGAGTTCGAAATGATGTGCTCTGCGGCACCCGTCCCTCGCCTGCGACTAGAACCTAATTGCGCGTAGCGCGCTCGTGTTTCTATACGTGTATATATATGTACATACATTTATATTTACATTTATATATATATATATATGTGTGCGTGTACATGTATAGGATTCCCGGGGCGGTCGGTCCCTGCTCAGTTTCTGTTCGCGGATGCCCCCCGCGGCGCGTCTCCGCGCGACCGCCCATGCCGCGGCATCGCGCCCCAGAGACCCAGACCGCGAGGGTGCGGACCGAGACCCCCGACGCCGTGATCGCGTCACGACGTCGACCCCCCAGGGGTCTCGACCCCTTCCCCGGGCGTTCCGTCCCGTGCCGCTTTCGTCGACGGTCCCGAGGGCCGGCGAGGGCCCCCTCCCGGGGGCAGAGAGCAGCGAGGAGCCTCCCGTGGCAACTTCTGTCGCAGCGCGAGGGGGTCTGGGTGCGCCGGTCGCGAGGTGCAGACGGCCGAGGGGAACCTCCCGTTCTGGCAGGTGCAGGCGGCGGGCCCCGCCGCCGTCGTCGTGGGCCAGCTGGCGGGCCCGCCTCCGGGCGGGCTCGCCCCGCAGGGCGGCGGGGGCGGCGTCGGCACGGCCGCCAGCAGCGCCTGCCACACGCCGAAGTGACGCCATGGGCTTCCAGGCCTCCCCTGCAGAGGAGGAATCCTCCTCATTCTCCTCCTCCTCCTCCTCCTCTTCCTCCTCCTCCTCCTTTCCTTCCTTGCCGCTGCCTGCTCGCCCAGTTTCCCCTGCTCCCCCGTTTGGGCACCCTGGGAGGCCCTCTCGTCGCCACTGCTGGGGTCGCCTCGGGGATCTGGTCAGAGCGAAGCCCAGGAGAGGTCCGAGGAGCAGCGGTTTACCCGCCCAGGTGACGCCGGGGTTCCAGGCCTCCCCAGTTCGGCCTGAGCAGGTTCGGGGAAACGTAGGATTTCGAAAGAAAAACAACGCCACCAACATAAGCTGTTTTGTTCATTCGGGCCTGTCCCTCTACATGGGGGAATATTCAAACATAGTTGAAACGTAGGCAGGGGGCGATGTAAGTTGCTTTGACCCTTTTCAGTTTGGCAGTCAAAGTCCGCCTGTGGGGGGACATGCCCGACCTAAACCTTGTGGCGCTCCGCGCGGACTTCTTGGCTCCGCGCGGGGCCCCCCCCAGGCGGCGCCGCCCCGTCGGCGCGCTCTCCAGGGGCGCCGGGCAGGGGGGTCGGCGCGGAGCCGAGGAATCCTCGCGGAGCGCCAGAAGTTTAGGTCGGGCATTTCCCCCTACAGGCGGACTTTGACTGCCAAATTGAAAAGAGTCAAAACAAATTACATCGCCCCCTGACTATGCTTTAACTATGTTTGAATATTCCCCCCGTAGAGGGACAGGCCCGAATTAACAAAACAGTTTATGTTAGTGGCGTTGTTTTTCCTTCGAAATCCTCGTGGAGCGCCATAAGTGTATGTTTACGGCGTGGTTTCTCTTTCTATCCAGGCCTCCCCAATTCGATCTGAGCAGGCTCGGGGAAGCGCAGGGCTCGAGTCTGCCAGACCTCGGGTTTGCCGACGCGGCCTGGCGAGCGCGTCCTGGACTTTAAAAAGGTCTGGTCTTCGGGGGATGTCTGCAGCGGGAGCTCGCTTCAAATTTTTCATTGCTTCTCGTCATTTTCATGATGGTCCCGTCAGGCCAACCAGACTTCCCGGAACCCGAATTTTACATCTCTCCTACACTGGGGTCTGAGTAGAGGGGGGTCGGCGGATCGCGCCGCATTGCGGAAGCATCGGGGACGCATTGCCAACGTCTTTGATGTATCGCTGATGCGTCGGCGATGCATCGACGATGCTGTGCGACCCTCCGCCCGCATCTACAGTCAACCCGCATAGTAAGGATGAGCAACTTTTCCAAGGTTGCCCTTGCATCCTTGCCCCTTCGGCCCATCCTTGGCCGCTTTCGCTAGCCGCGCCTCGCTCGCACAGAGTCGGCATGGCCCTCCAAGGCCCTAGCATCCTTATCGCGCGTTCTTATGGTACGCGTCGACTGTACTTCGACCCCTATCTGGGAGGCCTCTAAACAGGCTCCACGGTAACGAGTGCCCCCTGCCGTCAACCAGGTCGGATGTGACGTTTGGGCGGTGGCCTCGTGGACAGCTAAGTCTGCCACCGGGGACTTTTTTTAACAGGCGCCCACGTGCACCACCCTGCGCCTGTGAGCGTAATTGCGGCTGCGCGTGGCGTGCACGCTGCTCTGGATGATGGGCGTTTTCTCCACCACCACCATAAGTTGGAGGGGGGGAGGAGGAAGAGGAGGAGGAGGAGGACGAGGAGGAGGAGGAGGAGGAAAGGGAGGAAAAGGAGGAGGAGGAGGTGGTGGAGGGGGACCCCTTCCCCTCCAACTTATGGTGGTGGTGGTGGAAAACAGGCCCATCATTGGATGCAGAGGAATTTGCAGCACCCTTTCCGTGCTTTCGCGACGCCCTGAGGTCTGGGCATGCGCGCGATCGCGCGAGAAGGCTGGGGGCCCGCGCACCGAACACGGCGCAGTGCCGGCTGCCCGGGCCCCCCCGCCTCCCTGTCCTCGTCCGCCTCCCCCTCCCAGACATGGTCGCGTCGAAAAATATAACCAGGACGCGGGGCGGGGCTATCTTCGGCCCCAGGGGGTCCCTCGCCGGTGCCTCGGGAGCGTCGAAACGCGACTCGGGCCAAGAAGCCGGTCCCGGGGAAGGGGTCGCGGGACTCCCAGGGGCGCCGTTCTGGAAAGTTTGGGTTTGCTCCTCGCTCCGCGCTCTCTGCCTCTGGCCCCACCGCGCGTGCCTCGCTTCTCGCGTCGGGGCGAGAAACGCACCGTCTTCTCCCGGCAGGGAGGCGGGGCGTGCCGCCGTCCGCCGGTTGCGTTTCTTTTTGATGATGATCGGTGGCCCACGGCATCATCTCCCATGTGTCAAAACTTTGGTGGCCTGGGGCGTGCAGAGTGTTGCTAGCGGTTGCGAGTGCACCGCGGCGCCGATGCGTTTCCGCGACGCACTCGGCTCTGACGCGCTGCCGCGCCGCTGCGACGGCCGCCTGACTCGCGGGCACCGTCTCGGCGAATTGTGTGCGAAGACACGTTGGCATTGTGCGAAGACGCCCACGGCGAATCAACGCCGCACCCTGCCCTCTCGAAGCGCCCATGCGGCCAAAAGTTGGGCAGAAGCCTCGGTTAGCTGTTGGGCTTTCTGCTCCCCCAGCCGTCTGAACCCTTTTGGGGAATACTTGGGTGAGGACGACGAAGGAGGAAGGAGAGAGAGAGAGAGAGGAAAAGGAGGACGACGGAGGAGGAGAGAGAGGAATATGACCAGAGGAAGCCCAAGTCGCATCAACGATGTTGCAATACGCCCTCCCTCCAAGTGCCCTCTGCAAAGGTCCCTAGGAGAAATTGGCTTCATTGCGGGAAGTGCCGTATTGGAAGACAACCGCCTGAGAATCTTCAACCGTGCCGAAACACAGTTTTTGAAATATCAATGTGATTGTTGCGCCCCGTCAATCCTAATTCGTGCCAGGACACCATCCGGACATTTCAACACGGGGAATCAACGTAATTGTTCCGCCGTGACAATTATGAAACACGTCAGAGCAATTGGCAACTATTCCTGGAACTTCAACAATCGAAGTCTTTGAACACTGTACGTTTAAGATGGATGTGCGCGACGCTGATACGAGAGCCACAATTCGGATAATACTTGCCTTCAACCTAGAAGCCGTTGTACAATTTCAAGGCGCACTTTCGCGTCCCTGATGCGAGAGCCACATCTCGAAAACGACCCGCCCTTCATCCTTGAAGCTGCTGCGGTTTCTGAAGACCCATGTGCGCGGCGCGAAGGCGAGAGCCACATTGTGAAAACGAACCACCCTCCATCCTTGAAGCTGTTGTGAACTTTTAAGGCGAATGCGCGCGGCGCTTAAGCAATAACCGCATATCGAAAAAGGACCGCCTGAGGCTTAGAGACCGTTGCGCATTTCAAGTTTCAGGACCACACCGGGTGAGGAAGTCGCAGGTGAAACGCACCGCTCGTCTTGCTGACTCATCCGTAGGTGCGACATGGATCAGGAGCGAAAGAAGACATGAATCCACGCTGGTTTCGAGAGCACGCATTGCACAAATGTTCGTATAACGCGGCCGGTCTCGCGAATCGAGGGGCCGTGTTCATGTACACAGCTGGGCGCGTACGTCCTTTGTGGGCTCCCTAATGGAGGAGTGATGTTTTAAGGAAATGCGGCATGGAGGAGTCCGTTGGAACGAGAAGGGATGGAGGCTGCCTGGGGCCCCCTTGGGGCCTCCCGGGGGCTTCCCGCGGGCCTCTTTGGGTGGCCTCGTGGGGGTTCCTTGGGGCTTCCTGTGGCCTCCCTCCCTCCCTCCCTCCCTCCTCCTCCTCCTTCTCGTCCTCCTCCTCCTCCTCCTCCTCCCTCCTCCTCCTCCTCCTCCTCCTCCTCCTCCTCCTCCTCCTCCTCCTCCTCCTCCTCCTCCTCCTCCTCCTCCTCCTCCCCGTTTTGGAGCCCTATTTGGCCGTCTTGCGGGCCTCTTGGGGGTCTCTCGTGCCAGCTTGGGGCGGTGTTGGGGACCTATGGAGTCGTCTTGGAGCGTCAGAAGCCCGACAACGCGAGAACGCTAAAAGGAACAAACGCACAACGCATGATAAATCAGTGATAGTGGCATCCTGGGGGTCCTCTAGGAGCCCTTTAGGGCGTCTTGGGGGATTCCTGGGCCGTCTGGAGGGGATCTTCGGTTCTCTTGACGCCGCTTTGGCCGTCCTTGAGGCATTTTAGGACCGCCTTTGACGCTTTTTGGGTCATCTCGGGTTGTCTCTGCCGTCTTAGAGGCGTCTTTGAAGCTGTCTTGGGTCTTAGAGGCGTCTTGGGAGCCATCTTGGGCTGTCTTTGCCGTTTTGAAGGCGATTGGTCCACTTAGTAGCGGATATTCAACGGTTTCCGGCGGATTTCGCCCAGCCTCTTCTTGGAATACTGCAGACGCTCATACAGCCACGTAGCATCTAGCATGGCGTGCACCCTTGTGGCAAGCCAGCCGGGGGCGGCGGGTCAAGTTGCCTTCGGTCTATCCAGCCGCCGCGCTTGAGCTGTGGGTCAGAAGCCCGTTGGATGGTTCGGCGGCCCCTTGGAGGGCTCCTGGTGGCCGCTCGGGGGCCTCTCGGGTTCCTCTTGGGGGCCGCCTGGGTCCTCGGGGCCGATTGGGGCCTCTGGGCGCCGCTTGGGAGCCTGTGGAGGGCCTGCCGGCGGTCTCGGGGGTCATCCTGGGGCGGAAGGCTCGAAGTCGCAGCTCGCGGCCCCCCTCTCGGGTCCATCCTGGGGCCCTCGTGGGCCGTCTTTGGGGCCTCTTGGGTCGCTTTCGGGCCCTCGTGATTAGTTTTAGAGGCCCCTCTGGGGCCTCTGGCACCGTCTTGGGGCGAGATTGAGTCTCCGGGGCCGTCTTGGGGTGTTGGAGGACCGAAACGGCGGGTCGGAAACCAATTGTAAGTCGGGCGTGTCCCCTTACAGGAGGAATACTTCAAAATCGTAAAAAATAGTTATGGGGCGATTTTCGAGTGTTCTTCCATCATGTTTGGGCATTTGGGGTGTCTCTTGGATTTGTTGTCCCAAATCCCATGTAGGAGGATATGCCCGACCTGAAACTACTTTTTGAAGACGCCACAAGCAAGTTCTGTTGGTTCGCCTCGCCTCTTGTAGACCTTGCGGGGTGTCCTCCTCGGACCTGAATGGCACATCTGGGGGCTTCGTACAGTCGGGGCCCTGAAGAAGGAACCCTTTTCGTTGGGGAGGGGCTCCGTATTCCTTGATTGCTTCACAGTTTGCCTTGGGTTGTCCTTTGGGTTTTGATGGGAAATCGGAGTTTAAACGTATGGAAAATAGGGGCCTCGTTCCTTGTTTAGGGTTCCTTAGGTCAACGCCTCGACTGTACTGAGGCCATCTTGGGCTGTATCGGGGGCGTTTTGGGGGCGCTCCTGGCCCGCCTGGGGCCCCGCGGCAGCGGCCAACGTCGCGAGGGGCACCTCGTGCGGCACGCGGGCTCGCGCGACAGGCCCCGAGAAATCCTTGAATTGGGGTGCCGACTCTAAAGCGAGCTGAGGGACGAAAGGAGTGGAAGCGAGCGCGCGCCCGCGGCCGCGTCGGCTCAAGCGGCCGGCCGCCCAGATTTGATTGTGCCTCACCGCGAGGCACACAATCGCTATCGAGACCAACAGGATTTTCCTATTGCTTGAGATGGCATCTCCTCTCATACTGGGACTATCGTTATTACGGTACAGCAGAGTGGGAGCTCGGCTCCGCCTGAGGCGAAGCTGTTGGCTGGGCCTTCCAGCCCCCTTCAAACTTGGCGTGCCTTGTGAACAAGTTGCACTATCGTTTTCTCGTCGCGTTCGGCGCCTCAGCAGTCTCGGCAGCTTTCCGGCCCCAGGTGCCTTGCGCGCGCCCGCTTTTTCCACGGAGGTGACCTGCGAATGCGGCGGACGCAGGAGTTCATCGTCCACTTCCGTGCCGTCGACCTCATCCTCTTCACCCCGCACGGGCTCGGGTTCGGTCGGGGTTCTGCTTGCGCTCCGTCTGTGTTTAGCAGGCGGTGGGGCCGACCTTTCGTTCTAGGCGGCGGTTGTTCGGGCAGGGGGGTTGGGCTCGTGGCGCTCTGCCCATCGCGGTTTCGGGCTCTGCCTTCCCCGTCTGCTGCTCCTGTCGCGGCACCGGCGGATTTGAAGGGGTCGGTCTGCGCCCTGCAAGCGACGCCGGTGCGGCCCCAGTTCTTGCCCGCTCCCCCAATCGCTGCCGCTTAAGCACCGCCGTCGTTCACCATTCAGCGGGTTGGGGTTCAGGGTCGCCGTTGGCCTCGCAGCCGCGTGGCCGGGCCACGCTCGCCAGGCTGGCGATCGCGTGCTCTTTTCTTTTGTTCGCACCTGGCCGACGTCGCGGTCGGCGCCGCCCTGGCCGCTACGCCAGGGGCCGTTGTGGCGGATGTGCTCCCGCTCGAGCTTCGGCGCGCAGTCGCGCTCGCCGGCGCGGCGCGCTGGGTCGCTTCCAGGCGTGGACTACGGCCCCCAGGCTGCGACTGCCTGGAGTCTGGCGCTCGTGCGCCGCCGTCGCCTGGGCCGCGCGCGCCCGCCACGCCATCTGAGGTTCTGGCCCCTTCCGCCCGCACGGGGCGGGGACCTATATGTACGTTTTGGGGGCTCGCGCTGCCCTCGCGGCACCGGGTCCGCCCCCGCGCCCGGGGGGGCCGCCAGCCATTGGCGCCGCCCGCGCGAGGTTGGGTGGTCTCGCGCGGTCGCCCCGCGCGAGGGGTCTTCCGCGCCTCAGCCGCCCTCGCCGAGTTGCGAAGTGGTTTGGGCGACGTCCTCTGGCGCCACTGCAGCCTCAGGAGTGGCCCGCGTTGCTGTCGTCAGCGGGTCTCGCCGTTGCGTGACAACTTCAGCTGTTGAGGCAGCTGCGCGGCATGCTGCGAGCGGCGTTGCGCGCCCGAGTTGTCGCGAGTTGCTGCCGTCGCTCGGGGCGCGCGGGGCCCCTTCCCCCTGCGCCCCCCCCCCCCTCTTTAATAGCGGACACCACTTGAAGGCGTTCTGCTGCTGGCGCGGGGCCTTCTGCGAGCGGCGCGGTTTCCTCGAGCCCTCGCAGCGCGCCGCGGTCGCCCAGGGTGCGCGGGGCCCCTTCCGCTCCTTTGCCCGGTTCGGCAGCGGCGCTGGAGGGCGCCGCTGGAAGGGCCGCGGCAGCAAACGCAGGGCAACCTGCGAGCGGCGCGGAAATCCCCCCGCGCCTTGGCACGACGCCGCTTCGGCGCAGGGTTGGTCTGGCGACCTGGGCGGGCCGTTCCCGCCGACCTGTCCCGCGCACAGCGTCGACGCGCCAGGCGCAGACCGCGCGGCGCGGCTGGGCATGCGGCCGGCGGCCGTGCCATCGGCTAGCGGCTATAGCCCTTCGCCATCTGCAGCTGCCCTCGCCGCTGGCCCGCCTC